GAGCAGGGAGCCCGATGCGGGACTCGATCCCGGGACTCCAGGATCATGACCTGAGCCGAAGGCAGTCGCCCAACCAACTGAGCCACCCAGGCGCCCACAATTCCAATCTTTTTGTTAATTGTTTTTGCTTTGGAAAATACAGTTATTATTCATAAAAATATGTTATTTATGTTAATATGTAATAGGCTTACCACCTAAGGCCTTGGGTCAGAGGCCTATACTCAGACTTCTCAGTTGTCTAGCCAGCTTCCAATGTCAGCCCATCAGGGACCTGTACTGGGTTGGGTACGGGGGTGAGTGGTACTTTCAGGAACTCTACCACTGGTTGGTGGAGGAGTAAGCACTAGCAAGTGACACTAACTGTGACCACCTACCCTGCCTGTCCCATGCCTTGCTTTCACAGTGCTTCCTCTAAAGTTATTTTTCTTCCCAGTACTTATAAACACCATGATATTGTTGAATAGGCATCATTTGTGGAGAACACATTCAGGTATCCATGGCCTACACACATTTGCAGGCACTTTTGCAGTTTCCATTACTGTTTGTGACGTCTTGGGAAAATGACTTCCTAGGCTTCAGTTTCCCCATTTATAAAATAGGAGTGGTGACGAAAATCAAATGCGATAATGAACTCAAAAGTGCATGATAAATTGTAAAGTAATACCAGTGGTAAAAAATATCATATCATTCATATTTTAATAAGTGCTAAAGATGATAATATTGATAGAATTTCATGGTACATTGATCAAAAATAAATATGAATGTGTTTCTGGGTTTCGACCCCATAGTGTCTACACTTTTGCTTATTGTATGGAGACTAAATGCAATCTATGGATAATATCGTATATCGAAATGCTTTGGTCTAATTTAGCAAAGATCTTCTGTTTGGTAATTTTGATTTCACAATCAAATGATGACTACCATTTGTGTGTGATCTTGAAGCAAGATGCCAAGAAGAGGAATAACATAGTGAGGGCTGTGCAGTCAGAGCAGATAGAGTCCTTGAAGTTCACCCACTGCCGGTGGCAGATGCCCCAGCCCAGCACATGCAGCTCTTGCTGTCCACTTGCATGTGCCAAGTTGCCACAGCTAAGGCAGGACTGCAGGTTGGAGTGGTCACTGCTGTGCGCATAGGAGGTAATCTGCAATGAACATGCCTACGGTAAGGGACATCCCCCCAAGAACACATTATCATGAGTTCATTGACAAGACCCTGTTCTACACCCATCCACGCTAGTGAACTGCAGCTGCAGAAGCAAGACTCATCATCAGCATAGCAGAGGCTCAGGTATGCATGCTTATGTGTACATGTGTGCGCATTTCCTATCCATCAGATGATTTAGGCCTGATTTGGCTGACAGTAGAATTGTGCCTTTTTTCTCATTTCTATATCACTAATGCAGTCTTTTTAATGTGTTTGACTTTTATTCTCCATTACATTATAGCTGTTAAGTGCTTTGGAGGTCTTTGAAGCAGTGTGGAAGAGGGAAGTTGATATATAAAGGACAAGTCAGAAGAAGTGTCCCTGCTCTCATTATTTGATTAAACTTTATTATGTTTAAGTAGAGAAATAATAGGAATAGATATAATTCACACTGAAAACTGTGGGAACGTTTGTTTTAAATCATGGCATCCTGGGAGGGCCAACTAGGGAGAATGTGCTCCCATTTGCCTTCTAAATTCAAGATGTTTGTGAGGATCTGGGCTGAGGGAAGGGAATCATTCCTTGATACTGGAACACCTTCCCTTCTCAGAAGCTTATCAAATCCCACCCAGTCTAGGCAGCCTATGTCCCTCGTCTAGGACATCTCTTCAGACCAGCTTTGCTTGGCTCTCCCTTCTCTGAGCATCTATCCCACTTTATCACCACCTAGCTTAGCACTGCTGCTCTGCCTTTCTCATAGAATTTCTTCTTTTCCTTGTCCTCAGCCAGGTTATGAACTCAAGAGTAGGGGCCACGTCACACTTCTTTATCTCCCATCACGATTTATTAGTTAAGTAGGTGGATAAATAGAGCTCTGTAAACATGAAGAACATGAAAAAGCAATGATTCTAATTCTATTTTGGAGAACGAGAACTCTCCCACATGAGGTCACCCATGTGGATGTTCAGAGACGCAGAAGCCACTTTCTCCCACTCACTCAGTTACCACTCTCTCTGGTTCTGATTCCCTCTGCTTCTGTCTGTCCTTGCTGACCTGGGGGGACTTGAAGGGAGGTAAAAATGGCCCAGAAACCCAGGCTGGCATGGGCCAACAGCAGCACGGTCTTCCTGTGGGGTGGGGAGGTGTTAGAGTGCCACCAGGGCTATGCTGTTAAAGTCTCTAAGTGGCTAAGGGAGAGAGATGGGGAGTGGGCCTGAGAGAGAACAAAAAAGAAAGAAAAGTGGTAGGTAACATTTTTGTGAAGGAAAATAATAAAGAAGATTCTTAGCTATTTCCTTGTAGTTTTTTATATTATACTTTTTAAAAGATTTATTTATTTATTTATTTATTTGAGAGAGAGAGAGAGAGCAAGGGAGGGGCAGAGGGAGAGGGGGAGAAGCAGACTCCCTACTGAGCACAGAGCCCAGTGTGGGGGCTCCTTGTACTTTAGAAGATGGATGGATCAATGGAATGAGACTTTAGGTCCTGGATGCTGCAAGACAGGCTTTGTTATGTCTCTTTGTATTATCAGCCAACAGCCCAGTCTAATTATGTGGGAGGTTAAGGGACTGAAGCCACTGAGCCTTTTATCAGAAGTATTTGAACACCAAGTTTAACTGTAAAGTTATATACACTTTGTTTTGTTTTGTTTTGTTTTTAATAACTGCAATACTCCCTTTGGAAGAACTGGCCTTATTTAAATCAGAACAAAAATTTAGAAAGCTGTTTAAGGTCCTCTAGGAGCTCATGGCTAAATAAACTTATAGATCAAAATATTTGAATGGTTCTAATATAACTCTGGCTTCTAAAAACAAAATCATTCATTTAGGAGCCATTATAGTTGCCTGAGGCCTGTTAGGAGCCTGAGTGGAAATAGTTCATTACCTTTCTTCCCTCCCACCACAAATGTTTTAGTTTACAAGCTGGCTTTTCCTGAAGCATTTGCAGACTTCTTTGCTGACTCTCTGGTAACCACTCCCAAGTGAAATCTCTTGAGTTCATCAGCGCGTCATTGACTTGACCCTGCTGAGGGAAGCCATGTCTACTTTCACTTAAGCAGTTAGGATCGAAACTGCAGCAAACATTATAGCACTCAATTGACTCACGATGATGAAAACAATAAGAGTTAATAATAAATAGCCTACTGTATAAAGAGTGTCTGGTATGTTCCAGACATTGTATAAGAAATTTTGTACAAAGTACATCATGTAGTCAACACAGCACAATTATTATGGGAACTTCCACAAATGTTTGTGAGATTTGGGGCAAGAGCATAAATAGAGCCCCCTTTACCTCTTCCTTCCTCTCTTTTCACTCCCTCTCATGTCCACACTCTATCCACATGCTCCTTGCCCCCCTTCACTTCCCACAAACTGCTGCCTTTTGACTACCAGTGTCC